GTGGGGAGAAAGGAACCCTTCTCCATTGTTGCTGGGAGTGCAGACTGGTGCAACCACTGTGGAAATCACTATGGAGATACCTCAAAGAACTAGGGTTAGAAGTCTCACTTGACCCAGCTATTCCCCTGCTGGCTATCTTCACAAAAGAATTTAAAAAACAGGGCCGGGGACTTAGCTCAGTGGTTCCAATGCCTGCCTCGCAAGCACAAGGTCCTGAGTTTGATCCCCAGTACCAAAAAAACAAACGAACAAAAAACACCCCAAAAGAATCATACCACAGCGATATATGTGCATCCATGTTTATAGCGGCACAGTTTGTAATAGCTAAAGCTTGGAATCAGCCCAAGTGCCCATCAACTGGAAACTGGATAAAGAAGATGTGGTTTTCTTTTTTTTTTTATAAAATGGAGTACTATACTATGCAGCCATAAAGAACGAGAAACTAGAGACATTTATAGCTAAATAGATGCATATTGAGGCCATACTCTTAAGTGAAATAAATAGGACACACATGTGTAAATATCAAATAGTTTCTCTAGTGTGAGAAACTGAAAGTGTAAATAAGGATTAAAATGATTAAAAAGAGTAACTGATAATTTGAAATAGGGGTAAGGGTGGTGGGAGGGAAAAGGAAAGAAGGGGAAGGAAAAATTATGAGAAAAAAAAAAGGAAACAAAGTCTATGTAAATAGGGAAGGGTGGAGGTGGTGAAGGGCGCACAGAAAATGGGAAAAAAATAAGAACCAAGATGCATCATGTACAGGTACAAACACCCAATGATAAATATAAACGTATTGTATACCTAAAATGTACCAATAAAGAATTTAAGCAATCAAAAAAGAGTACAGAATAAAAATATATCTGAAATCAAGGACTCCAAAAGTTTACGTTTTATACATGCTACTGGAGGAGGATGTTCTAGATACTGTCCAGAAAAACAGAGACCATGAGCTCTGAACGTCACAGACTCAAGCTAAGAATGGAGCTGTGAGCTCACTGAGGGTTCACAGCAGCAGGTCAAATGAAAACCGACACAGAACAAAACAGGCAAGAGGCTGATAACCAACACTGCGTGACAGGTACAGAGATTCATTATACTGTTCTATTTTTTACTATACACCAGTACTTCCATGATGAATTTTAAAGGTGTGTCAGGATGGGTCAGCAAATGGTGCCAGGACAACTGGACATCCAAGTACAAAAGAATGAAATTGTATCCACACCTCACATAATATACAAAAGTTAACTCAGTGGATCCTTAATTTAACACCTTACAATGGCCGGGGGGGGGG